GAGGACCACAAGGCACGCATTCGATTAGAGCAAGAACTGGAAGTCTTCAAAGATACCCTCCGAGGTTTCCAAGTGAAGACCGACAGTATAACTAAAGAAAGAGATATGTTCCGCCGGATAGTCGAGTCAAGGGCATCTGCCGAAGAGATGGCTTCAGCCTTGGGTCGCTCAACACAAGACGGCGTCCTTGCCAGCATAGAACAGAACTCTACCGCCAACGACGATAGCTCAGATATCACTACTCTATTCCGGGATCTCCAGCAACACTTCGATTCCTACCGAGATGAGCAAACTGCCGATCGAAAGACAATGAAAGAACAGCTAGAGAAGCTGTCTGCCGAGAGGAATTCGCTCCAGGCGGAAGTTTCCAAGTTGCAGAGTCAGTTGTCCCTTGCGTCGGAGCGGTACGAGATCCTTCAATCGAATTTCACCGCCCTACAAAGCGAGAACAGAGAGCTGGCAAAGAGAACCCAAACCATGTCGGAGTCTGCCGCAAAGCAGGACATGCGTACGCAGCAAGTGGCCGAGGACCTTGTTGAGGCAAGAGGATTGCTTGAGAGTATGCGCAACGAAAATGCAAACCTTAAGGCCGAGAAGAAGCTCTGGAAGGATATCCAGGACCGATTGAGTCAGGATAATGAAAGTCTGATGCAGGAGAAATCGCGACTCAACGGGTTGCTAGCCACGCAACAGACCCTCCAGAACGAACGCGAGCTCAGTGACTCCGAAACCAGGCGACGACTTCAGTCTCAAATCGATTCTTTGGAAAGCGACCTCAATACTACCAAGCGAAAGTTAACCGACGAAGTCGAGGAAGGGAAGAAGGCGCAACTGCGAAAGGAGTACGATGCTCAACAGTTCCAGAAGAGAATAGACGAACTCAGCGCAAATCTCAGTCAGATCCGTGAAGAGCTCGTCGCTACTAAGACCAGCCGAGACCACCTTCAGAGCAGAGTTGACGAGCTAACTATCCAACTGCGAAGTGCGGAGGAGCGAGCAGAAAGACTCCAGCCACGACCCACACCGCGGCCGGGTTCTCTCGTTCCCGCACCAGACCAAAGCGCCTCGCAGGCCGATAACGATGAGCGCATACAAGACCTGATTCATGAGGTCACAGACCTTAAGCGTGACCTAGAGATGACAAAGTCGCATCTGGAGAACGCCCAATCGCAAGTTGAGAAATACAAGGAATTAAGTCAAGCGTCAGAGGAGGAGCTTGAGAGGATAAACTCGACGCAAGACCAATACCAGCAAGAAATGGATGCGACAATTGCGGCTAAGGATGCGACGATTAAGGAGCTGGAGCAGCGGGTGGAGGACTTGTCCGCCGAATTGGCAAGATCTAACAGCGAATTGTCAAGTCTGCGTGACTCTCAGGCCGAGATTGCCAAACGATTCGAGGATGAGAAGGCGATATTGGACGAGGAAATTAAACGTCTTAAGGATGAGGAAGAAAGGTACTCGGCCTCATCGCAATTCCATCAACAGGATCTTCGCGCGCAAGCCGAAATCGCAACCAATGCGCAACAAGCATATGAAACCGAGGTCATGAAGCACGGAGAAACAGCGAAATCGCTATCTAATCTACGTGGTGAATTCAACGAACTGAAAACCGCCGCGGCGACTTGGAAAGCGGAAGCCGAATCAGCAAAGGTTACTCTACAACAGAGCGAGAGTTCCTGGGACGACCGCCGGCAGCGGTTCGAGCGGGAAATCTCGGAACTTCGTGCTCGCAGAGACGATGCTAACGCTCAGAACAAATTGCTCCACCAGCAACTCGAAGACGTTTCGAAGCAGGTTTCGGCCTTACAGCAAAGCCGATCCTCGACCGATGAGTCCCTTAATGCTATTGCCGCGCAGCCCAGCGGTTCCGATACCGACAAGTTCCGGGAGCTGAGTAATTACCTCCGCCGCGAGAAGGATATCTTGGAAGTCCAGTACGACCTCAAAGTCCAGGAAGCAAAGAGACTCCAGCAGCAACTGGAGTATGCGCAGTCTCAGCTCGACGAGGCCAGACTGAAGCTCGAGCAAGAACGTCGCTCGCATAGCGACAGCGACCGTAGCTCTATGGCCCATAAAGACCTTATGAGCAAACTAGAGGAACTCAACCTCTTTAGGGAGAGTAGTGCTGCTTTGCGAGCCGAGGCTCGTCAAGCACAAGCGCAATTAGCTGAGAAGACAGCGAGGGTTGCGCAACTGGAGTCTACCATCCAACCTCTCGAAGCTCAGGTTGAAGAGCTTCAAAGCCAGCAAGCTTTTAGAGAGGCTGAAATGAAGCAACTTCATGAAGACCGAGATCGTTGGCAAAAGCGAACAGAAGACATTCTCTCAAAACACGGCAGAACCGACCCGGCGGAGGTCGAGGAGCTTAGACAGGCGGTCGCAAAGCTTGAATCCGAACGCAATGCTCTGCAGGAAGCTGAGGCGCCTCTAAAGGAGAAGATTCAAGAGCTTGAGAAGACCATCGTGGAGAAAGAGGCCGGCTGGGCAGTATCGAGGGAAAGACTTATTAGCTCGGCTAAGGAACGATCAAGAACCCTTACTAATGCCAAGAATGAAGTCACGACCGAAAGGGACAAGCTTCAAGTACAACTGGACGAAGTATCCAATAAACTCTCGTTCACCGAAGGGGAATTGGAACAGCATAAGAAAGTAAGGCGCAGCTTGGAAGAGCAGATTGTCGATTTCAAGCGTCAAGTTGAGGCGCTACAGCAGACGCAAAAGAACTCTGCCCCGCAGGACCCATCAAATGACCAGGCGTTATCTGCCCTGCAAGCCCAATTAGATGAAGCTCGCTCTGAGCTGAGCAACGTTTCCAAACAGAAATCTGCTATCGAGGAAGAACTGCAGAATACTCGTAACCAGCTCAGCTCGGCGATTGCAGAAAGAGATGAAGCTATCGCCGCCGCACAAGCCCAAGCGACTAACAGCAACACCACAACGGCCAACGGACCAATTGCTTCGGAGGAGCTGCCCTCGGTGGCACCGTTGTCCGATGACGAACGCAAGGCTCTCGAGGAGAGGATCGCGGAAATCACAGCTAAGGCTGAGGAGTATGAAGCCAAGGCTAGGGAGTTGGAGGAAAGTTATGAGCAGATTGTCAAGTCAAGAAGCGATAAAATGAAAGAGACTTTGAACAAGCGCCTGACGGACGAAAAGGCCAAGATGAAACAGGAGGTCGAGAAGCTTGAGTCTGACTTCCAGCTTCGTATGGAACAAGAGCGCAAGATATGGGAAGCAGAGCATGCGAACGCCGGCAGCAATACGAAGCCACCTGCTACTCCTGCTCGACAGAATCCAGCTGAGACTCCGGCAGGAACACCTACTATGGCCAATCTCTCGGAATTGAACGACAAGGAGATTAGAGATCTCGTGTCCACCAACACCACGATCAAGAGTATCATTCAAAATAATATTAAGAATAAACTCGCGATTGAGACGAAGAAGGTGCGTGAGGAGCAAGAGGCGATGAAGACGGAATGGGAGCAGAAGGTCGCTCAAGCACGAGAACAAGCCACTCAGCTCGCTACGTCGAAGAGCAACTTAAAGGTCAACATGGCGGAGAAGAAGATCCAAATTGCTAATGCGAAACTGGCCGTCGTGGAGACCGCCGCGAAGGATACACCTCAGCGCCCCGTCGGAGAGGTGTGGGAAATTGCTAAAGACGCAAAGCCACCGCCACCAGCCCCTAAACCCGCCGCTCCGGAATTGCCAGCCGCCTCCATAACAGCGGCAGAGAATGCTGCACCAGGTACGTACTTTAATTGTCCGATTTGTCGAGAATTCACATGCTTACTCAACATTATCTAGCTCCTGGCACTCAGCCTGCGAACGCTCATGCACCCGCAAGCGCTGAAGAAGCAAAGAACCCCCCGACCAGCGGTATACCCAAACTAGGAACGACGGCGAATAACGCCCCAGTGTTAAATAACCCTTTCGCACCCTCGGAGCAAGGACAGACATCAGCATCCCAATCAGGCCCAGCAGCTACAAGCATGTTTGGGCTGCCTAGTGCGCCTAGTATGCCGTCTCAGATTCCCGCCAAAACTACCGGTCTTCCAGTACCAACAACGGGCATTCGTAAGCCAAGTGGCCCTAATCAGGCGCGCGGTGGTGGTCGAGGAGCGCAGATGAATCGTGGAGGTCGTGGAGGCGCGCACGGACGGAGTAGCCTCAACCCTGCAGCTGACAGCTTCCCATCTGGAATCAAACGGCCCCGAGGCGACTCGGAACTAGGTCATGGTGGTGCGAAGAGACCACGAGGAGGCGGCGCTTCACATTAGAGCAGCGCGCAACGTCCCGAGACGGAGGAGTGGCTTTTATAATCAGTCGCTGCGCGCATGCATGTACATTGATGGCTCTTTGGGCCTTAGTAGATTAGAAATCCTCCGCGTTGCAGATGGGGGTATTCAAGGGGTCCTTTTCAAAGGCAGACGAGCTATTCTGTAATTCCTTTTTTTTATCTAAGGCGGTGGCCAGGTCAGAACCGGAAAACAAAGGCGTCCACGTCGCTGCGGCGTCATTTAGGCTCGCTGCATGGGCTGTATGTTACGAATTTCGGACATTTTTTTCTCTTGTGTGCAGAAACTTGTGCTCCGTAGCGGGTTGTGAAACGAAATTGAAGCTGAAGGCGTGGGCTTCAATGCTTATGATGCCTTGTTTATCTGATGACTTTGAAATTTCTGTAAGCTTTATCGGAAGAGCATTCTGCTAATAGATACCCAAGTTGATATTGGTTTTTTCCTTGGACCTTACTTAAAGTTTTGCCTTGTGTTTTCCATAGTACTAGGTAGCTAATACGGCAAGTTGAACCGGTCAATCTGTTCGACGCGTTCGATTTTCATCGTCGTAGGCGGATAGATCCGTAGCCGCGACAGAGTAGCCCCACGCGATATCGCCACTTATACTGTGCGCTAAAGTCAAGGGTACATAAAGTTAATTAGCTTTCAACGAATCATTAATCACCTCACATCCCAGTTCTTCAGCTGGGAACGTGTACTGGCGCAGTGGCGGAGTGGTTATCGCGTATGACTAGAAATCATATTCCTTCGGGAGCGCATGTTCGAATCATGCCTGCGTCGACTCAAATTTCTTTTTTCAACCTAACATCAATTGTTTACAATTGGTCCTTAATTATTTTTTCGCTTTCAAATATATATTTCATTTTCCTTAATCCAGACAACATTGGCGCGATGGGATAACTACATGCAACTCGCATTCCGGGTTATCTATTAATCAACTCCGTCTATGTGAGGAAGTAAAGCTATACGCAACTTAGGATTTAGACGAAGGTCACCAGCCTTATATGCTATATATGTAGGTACACAGCAAGCCACATTTAAGATTTTATATGAAAAGGGTAAGAATATCAGAAAATCCACACTTTCAGGGCTCCCGTCACTGAACCATAGCGCCTCCGTTTGTGCTCACAGCACTTCCCGTGGCGTTAGTGTCCTTCATGAGATAGATGTACGCTTCAGCAACTTCCTCGGGCGTTCCAATTTTACCCAACAGAGAGGCCTTGGCCATGGCCACCAGCTGGTCCCTCCACTCGTTGGTGAGACGCGTATCCGTCACGCCGGGGCTAACGAGGTTCACCCGGATGGGCGCAAGGTCGAGCGCCAGCCCGCGCATCGTTCCGAAAATCGACGCCCCCCATCCGCTCGGCACGGCCATGCCCGGTAGGGGGCGCTCGCCCAGCCGGCCGCTCGTCAAGGTCAGGGACGACGTGTACGCCCGGTTGACGTAGCGCGGGGCCAGCTTGCCGATGAGCATCGGCACCACGTACGCGAACTGCACGCTGTCGCGCAGGTAGCCCGCGCTGACCTCGCCGACGGGCCGCACGTCCAGCTTCGCCGCCGTGTACACGATGTGGTCGAGGGCGCGGCCGCCGGCGGCGCCCTTGACGTCCGCCAGCAGCTGCTCCAGGTTCGACTCCGCGTCGTCGTGGTTCACGTCGCAGACGTAGCCGGCGACGGAGGCGCCCGGCACGGACGCTTGGATGTCGGCTACGGCGGCGGAGACGCGGGCGGGGACCGATGCGGCGATTGAGACGGCTAGGCCTTCGGCGGCCGCGAGCTTGGCGACTGCGAAGCCGATGCCCGAGGAGCCGCCGATGACGAGGAGGTGCTGGCCCTTGATGGGAGGCATGGTGGAGCGGTGATAAGGGGATGAAGCTGGAGTTTTGTGGACGACGGTGATGGTGGTGTGACCTGTTGGATCGATGTTTCTTCCTATCTATCTCAAATGCATTGCTGACCTTTTAGACAAGAATAACGAAAACTAGAGGGATACGAGAGATCATTATATAGACGGAAAATTTGTACTATCTCCGCGGTCCCGGTACTATAGATACAAGACGGGAAAGAATGCGATCCGGTTACAACATGTATATCCCCGTAGCCAGACCTACATGTATCGTTGATGGCATTTTGTACTCATTGATCCTAGCCATATCGCACCATCCGATTCCAATCATACCAAATTTAACGAAGTCACCTACCATCCGGCAAACTATGTCGCAAATGAGAATTACTAAGAGCCGAAGCATTGAGTAAATTTGCATCCGCTTCCTTCTGCACCCGGAGGAGGACTAGCGGAGTTAGGAGTCGGAGAAATTTGCGCAACCGGAGTTAATGACCGATCGAAAGGCCATGCAGCATGGGGATCGCTATCGCTTCCGCAATTCGCCCTAGCAGCACTTCCTAAGTACCCGGTCGCCTGCTGTTTGTGTTCTTCTCCGCGAAAGCAGATGGCCCCTCTTTTCTCGGCGGATCGTGAAGATGCATCGTGCGAACTACTGCGTCGACAAGTCGCCTTACTTATGAGTGGTTTAAGCTATAGTACATGTACATCGTGCTTTCAAAAGTCCCGAAGAAAACATTCGCCTGGGTTTATCTATTAGACGTAGGTATGACTAGATCCATGTCGGGGATTAGAGAATAGTTGTCGCCACGACGTGGAGAGAGTACCATGCGCGCGCAGGTATTTAGTCCACAGACATAGGGGGAAGAGGTCCCGGGTCCATGAGGAGACCAGCCCCTGGTTACCAACGTGTGCGGTAGCCGGGTCGAGGACACCGGGAAGAGGACGAGGAAGAAAATTCATTCATCTAATAACTATCTATTTCATTCGATACCAGCATCGTTGCAACCACCTCGACTACTCGATCCGCCGTCGAGCATGGAAATTAAAGTACCGGTCCGGCGACCCCGTACAAAAGTTGTCTCTGGAGAGTCGAGTCCGAACCCCTAATCGGCGTTCGAGGGATAGCAGGCATATCCCCCTTTAGTTGACCAGCATTGTATATAAGATCAAGTTACCCAGGTCCGTTCATACCATCCCCTATCCTATGTAGATGGATTGTTTAGCCATGCAGGGCTCCGATCTATCCGTTCCCGGTACAAGGCCTGTGGTCTGGTACTAACAAGCCAGGTCTAGGACTGGCTCGACCTGGGAAGCAACTACGTTGTTGCGCAAGGAGCCTTAACTCCTATTTAGCTAACGCTATCAACCTATATACCTTAAGGTCCTTTGTCTCCCAGAACTCCTCCCTTGGTTCCTAGGAAGGCCCTCTGGTCGTGATATCGCAGGCTGGCCTTCCGACAATGAGTTAATGGTATATCTTTCCTTAGTCATATCGTCGCTGTTAACGTGACGATCATATTCGTCTGAGTCACTTCAGGGAAGGACATGACGGGGACTCAAGTCGAACTCATTCCATTGCCTACCGTATGAATTGATGGTCGTAATATCCATAACTTATTTTTATTCCATCTAGGACCTCCTTCTTCATGTCTCTGCAATAGCTAGTGAAATACTTGTTATTAACGGCCCTTCACATTGAGGTGACATACCCAAAGCATGCATTCAAGTTAACTGAGCAGTAATCATTACCTGTGGCGTTCTTCACTTCCTTCCCGAGATTTCTCGCCAAACCATCAAGTTCTTCCAACCTCCCATCTGATCTTGGAACTTAACCCTCGCGCTATCACAGCAAGCATACGATATCGAATAAATATCGAGACACACGCCCGCCATGTGCCAAAGGGTCTTCCTCCAGGTTTGGTGCAAGAAGTGCCAAAAGCTTGTCGGGGACAAGGTCCAAACTACGCCAGTGGTCTGCCTGAATGTTCGAAGAAGCCTAGGGTTGGTTTTTGGCGATTGCGGCATTATCCATGACAAAACAGAGAGGAGCGCTGAAATACCCGAATGCGTGAACTGTATGTCAGGTAAACCCAAACTTGGCCATACTACGAAGTAGCGCGTGGAATTAAGAAACCAGAGAATAAATACTCCATTGAACAGGGTTTATCTCATGATTCAGTAAACTATCTTAACAGCCATCATGTCACAAGGTGGACCAAGAAGCCTAGGAAGCAACTATGTTGTCGCGCAAGGAGCCTCAACCCCAATCTAGTTAGGATTACAAACCTATATACCCTAGGCGTCCTTTGTTCCTCGTGAACGCCTCTATCCCGGGATATGGGCCCTGAGGCTAGCTCCCTGGTATCAGGGACTTCTCCCTTCGTACCAGGCACGACTCCATCCGCATAGGCTACTAAGATAGCCTTCTGACAAAAACTACGTAACCTATCGCCACTGATATCATCGCATATGCTATGAAGCTAGATCATTTACTCAGCATTGTATGTCCTTGATCTACTGGTTTTCCGTACGAGGCATGTAGCTTGTCACTAAAAGATCTAGCCAAGGATTCCCTTAGTCACACTGTCGCTGTTAATGTGGCGATCCTGCTCATACCATGTTGCTCCGGGGCCAAGCATGACGGAAACTCAGACTGTTGCCAAGGCCCTCAATGCTGAGATAACGTACCCAAATCATGTATGCGAGTTGGCTGAGCAATGCACACGACGTGGATGAAAAAATTCGATCATATATAAGGCGTTCTTTGCTTCGTTCTTGATATTTCTCGCCTTACCATCAACCTCCATCAACCACCTGCACAACGTTCTTATCTTGGGGCTTTACCCTCGTACCTTACAGCGAACACACGACATCGAATGAATAGATACAGACGATCACCATGTGCCAACGAGTCTTCACCCAAAACTGGTGCAAGAAGTGCCGACGGCATGTCGGGAACAAGGTCGAAACTACACCAGACCCTTGCCTGAAGGTTCGAAAAAGTCTGGGTTTGGCTTTTGGCGAATGCGGCACCATCACTGAGAAGATCTTGAAGGCCGCTGAAGTCTCCGAATGCGCGGAATGCATCCCATGGGGAACCAGAGCTGGCAATACTACGAAGTAGAGAAGAGGGTTGAGTACTTGGAGATAACTACTGCCACCCGAGGTTATCTCGTAACACAAATGACTATGTACTCACCTTAACATCCATCAAGAGAATCACACGGCGTATCTAACTATGTGACTTTGAATTTCCAACACGAAGTGAAATTGAATCGATTTTGCAGAATTGAGAATCAGTAATTGCTGTTAGGAAACTAGACTTTATGCTACAGATAGAGGGAGATTGGATTTCAGTTCTGAAAAGGAGAGCTCTACCCCCCTTTCCTCCCGGGATAAAATGACTCCCAGGAATATTGAGACCCTTGCAGTCCACGGTCACAGCTGACGCAGCTTTTGGTACGCCTTTTCGTGTAAGACATAGATTGTTATCTCTTGGCTCGTACAGTGACAGTTGAATATTAAGGTTGAGTACGAAGTAGGTACTCAATCACGAATCTAAATCATGCTCATCATTTTCCAATACATGGCCTGGAAGTATTTAAGGCTCCTATTCCCATCCCCGGTCTTCATTTTTGGATTCAGAGCATTCCAACTATCACGCAACATCCCGATCTTGAAATCCGATTCAAACACATTACAGCAGCCGTACCGACAGCTCCGGAATATCTTCTGCAATTATCCCCATCAACCGCTATGTGTCAGACAGTTCACCTGAAAGTCTGGTGCAAAACATGCCACCAACATTCTGGGGCAGTAATTGGGACTCGACGAGATGAATGCTTTATTGTTCGGAATAGTTGGCTAGGACTCTACGGTACATGTGGCCACACCGGTGACAAGGTCGAAACGTGCCATGAAGTAGATGAGTGCT